CTAATAATCTGTCTCTGGAAGATCAAAGATATCTGTTGATTGCTGTCCATTACACTGGTTGACATGGGGAAATGTTATTACTGTGAACAAAAGTGGCCATTTTAAATTATTTATTTTTCTATTGTTTTTGTGCTGTACTTTTTTCGTATTTAATATTTATTCATAAAAATATTAATTTATTTCTACGTCTTTTGGTGTATATTTGTGTTCTGCTTTAAAATTTTATTCATTGTACAAAATTATACAAACACTTGGGTAGTTATGTATAAAAGGTGCTATATAAATAAAGGTATTACCATAATTAAGCTAAAGTGTGCATCACTCAAGCCGGTATTTACATCTGAGTACAAAACTGGCTAAACTGTCAGCAATCAACAGTCACTCTCCAGTTACAAGCACTTAGGGATAGCATGTGAAACCAACTGGAATGCTCTCCAGGAGCAGGGCTGGAGGCCAATAACAACCCTATTATGTACCTTGTGGAAAGAATTTTTGGACGGTTATTTGTATTAAGGATAGGTATTGTATAAAAAAGTACACTTGGTGTATTGTCAGCCTCGGTAAATTAACATGCACAAAAATCTCGGTAACATGATTAAGAACAGGAGCAAATGACTGCGACTTGGTGAGCTTGGCCTTACTGTATTTTTGATTAAATTTGTTTGGTAAACTCTGGCTTTTATGTAGTTTTGTCTTCTTTTTTTTAGGAGTGAGGGCTTGGATGAAGACAAACATCCTGTTCAGAACATGCTTATAAAATTATCAGTTCTGAGGAGTCCCATTGCCACGGGGCGGATGCTTCTAGCAAATTTGTCTATATCTGATCATTTCAACTAAATCAAAAATAAAAAACGTTCGACTAATTTTTTTTTGTACTATACTACTCAATATCAACATCTCTGTTACTCTTACAGAAGTGGCACAATTTATCACTACCTTTCTTCCATTCTGCTTAAAAAAATCACTGGATTGTAGTTTTTCTGTTTATCTGTTTATTTGCATTTACATGGGAGATCGATTTTTCCTTTTATTTCAGGGAATTTTGCATGATATGAACCTTAATTCAATTTATGTCAAATTATCAGTTTCTGATTTTTTGTCAACAAAAATAAACTGTTTGAAAAATTATTGTATATTTACAGAATATTTCTTGTAGCAATTGATCACAGTGCTAGCTATATATATATATATATATATATATATATATATATATATATATATATATTTTACTGTTTATTCAGTGTTTTAATGAGAGTTACTCAGCTTATCCTAGGACATTTAAAGACATTTAAAGGAACGCAGCCTATGTTGTAATTTTTGCCATATGTATGTGTTAGTAATAAAATATTACTGCATAAAAACAGTAGTAATCCCTTGGGTGAACAATATCAATATTAAGACAAAACTGAAAATTTCACCAAACGCTCAGAAATCCTTCTTTTGTGGATGGATGGTAGTTCATTGCCTTCACTGTAAGTTGCAGGGTGGGGCCAATTATGAATATTGCCCTCCAGGTTACCCTGGGATTACTGTGACTAAAATGTGTGACCTTCAAAGAAAAAGAAAAAGCTTGATTATTTTAACACTGGTTTCCACAACAACTGATACTGTTAATTACATTTAAAATACAAAATGTATTAAGTCAGATGTAAGTTGTGAAATTATAATTTTATCTTCTGATATACATTATTTAATTGGATAACATTTCAATAAAATGTTTGAGCTTAACTTACCATTACCATGTATTGGATAAGTTGTTATGAAAGATGAACGTATTAATTAATATATGTATGGATGGATATTTTTCATTCCGGGCAATTTTAAGAAAAAACAAAATAATGACAAATAAACACAATGCTTGACACATCGCTCATTTGTACTAATAACCCCGTCCCCCAAAAAATGCACTGGAATGTCCAAAAATATTTAATCATGTCCTCAAATTCATGGAAATACCAACAATTTTACCATCCAGTTCATGAAAAAATTGATAGACAGTTGGATGAAAACCCACCGCTTGTCCTGTGCAGGGTTATAGTGCACCTGAAACTCAACTGTTAATTACTGAAGCTTAACTTAATTACTAGGGGACAAAAGAGAAGCAGTTGTGGAAACGCAAACAATATGATAGATAGATAGATTAGATAGATAGATAGATAGATAGATTAGATAGATAGATAGATAGATAGATAGATAGATAGATTAGATAGATAGATAGATAGATAGATAGATAGATAGATAGATAGATAGATAGATAGATTAGATAGATAGATAGATAGATAGATAGATAGATAGATAGATAGATAGATAGATAGATATGAATTTGCACTTGTCATCTTGTCATTTATAATATATATTTATATATATAAACTCACTCTCAACCAGAATAAATATCTCTGTACCCATGTGAACAGCCACCAAATCAGAGACCAAGGCGCAGCATCCATGTGAATGATACGGAGATACTCCTATGAAATCGCAAGAATCCTTCACTTGTGGGTGTCTCCAGCCACTTACAGTAATAAATGGGTGGATCTGCTTCTGAGGGCGGTGATTGATGCCTTAACGCACGACCGGTGAAACGATGAAACCTGCAATTCATACATTCAACATTTCCGTTCCAGCTTCCCATATAGTACATATCGTAATACTCGAGGACAGGAAAGAAGACTGCACTATAACTATCGCTGCCGATTGCAATGCCCGATTGCACTGCTGATTTGTAGCGTTATTATAAGGGGGCTGAGTCGCGTCCCGCGCCAGGTGTGTATGCGCCGTCACGGTGATCCGAGCTGCATCTATGGATCGCTTCAATGGATGCTTTCAAATCCAGTTTTAAGAACAGATTGATTACCACAGGCTCTACTGCCCAACAGCCAAAGTCAGAGAAGGAAGCTTCCCCGGAGGTACCACTGAGCCTGGAGGATGGCATTGCAGCCGTCCCGGCTTCAGCACCGGCGGTGTCTGGATACTGCACGGCTGTGTTTGACTACGAAGCCAGTGCGGACGATGAGCTTAGCCTGCGCAAGGGGGACGTGGTGGAAATACTGTCGAAAGATTCACTAGTATCGGGTGATGAAGGATGGTGGACAGGGGCGATAGAGGATCGGGTGGGGATTTTCCCCAGTAACTACGTCTGTAGTGGCAATGGCATCCCTGAAAAGATACGGGATACCGCTGTGGAGGATTATCCCGACATATCAATGCCACCGTTGCATCGTAAGTAGCTACCATTGCATCACATTTCCAGACGTTGTGGATTGTATAGCTGCCAGTATTACTATATGCTTTAAACGTAAAGCCATCAGGTATAATCGCTTTGCCCACTAAGTGCCATCGGTGCGCTCCCCAAACTCTGTCCGGTGCTTCACGGCCAGCTAGCTGCCTTCTCCAAGACTGTTTTGTTCATTCCTGCAAGCAGGCCGTAAAGCCTCTGTAATTGTGTATCACTAACTAATCGTCCAGTTTAAATGTTTCATTTCAAAATGAAAAGAATGAAAAATTATTTCCCAAGTCCCATTTTTTTATTCGCTACGTTGATCGTATTTTATACGTTTTTTCATACCAGGAGGAATACTGTCTGTATGAAAAAAATAGCATGTTATTATACTAACTAGTCTTACAATGATTTTTTTCTATTTGAACATTGATACATTTTAGTAATTTTCTTACGCGATGCATAGTGACAGAATAAACGGCACGACTTCGAGAATGAAATGAAGAATTATTCCATGTCTTTTTATATTTTGTGCTTCTTTAGAACTTGGCACATGAAAAAAGAACAGCAACTGTTAATAATTATTTTTGTTATTGGTCTCCATGAGCATTGTTCTATTTTGTATATTTTCACATATTACAACAAATAAGAAAAACATAATACTAGCAAAGTTGTATTTATGTAGAACTGATCTGAATGGTAGCTTAATCAGAAAGTCCATCTCATAATTTGTCTCTTGTGAGAGAATAAGCTAATTTATTTATTTAAACAAGCAAAACAGATCAACCTGATATATAGATTTGTGGTAATAAATGCATATATATGGCGATCTTATTTTTTTTTATTACATTGTAAAGTGCATGTTTTTTTCTATGGCTGTCACCCACTTCTTGATAAATTTACACAAGTACAAACTGCCTGATAAGCATTTTGGTTTTCACATGTTGTACGTTCTTAGGCTTCAATATCTATTGTGCTGACTTTCAAGTACTGGAATCTGACATAAGCCAGGCCTTCTGACCTGAATCATTCTCTTAGGGGTTTCTGTGCAAATGCAGGTCCTTGAATAGGATGGACAATGGACTTGAGATGGGAATAGGTGGTATTATACTGGTATTATACTGGTATATGTAGTATTATACACTGGTATCTGTGGTCAGGTTCAATTCCCGTTTCCCTTTACAATACATACAGTAAGATTAGAGTACAGCTGATAAGTGGCAAAATGAAAAATATTGGTGCTTAAAAAATCCCGAACTGTCTCTTCTCTCCTTGTCTTCTTCTAACTTCTGCTTTGCTGTCTTTCATTCAAATATCTCTCTCATGAACCCCCATCACGTTGCCGTAGTGCTGGAAATCGACTTCTCAGAGCTGGCCCTCGAGGAGATCATTGGAGTTGGGGGTTTTGGGAAAGTGTACCGAGCACTATGGAGGGGCACGGAGGTGGCGGTGAAGGCGGCACGGCGGGACCCCGATGAAGAAGTCGGTCAGACGGTAGAGAGCGTGCGCCAAGAGGCCAAGCTGTTTGCCATGCTTCACCACCCAAACATCATGGGCTTGGTGGGGGTCTGCCTGCTGGAGCCCAACCTCTGCCTCGTGATGGAGTTTGCTCGTGGGGGTTCCCTCAACAGAGCTCTGTCGGGCAAGCGCATCCCCCCCCACACGCTGGTGGACTGGGCCGTACAGATCGCCCGCGCTATGAACTACCTGCACTGCCAGGCCATTGTCCCAATTATACACAGGGACCTCAAGTCCAGCAACAGTGAGTAACAGATCATTCTTTTCTATATCATTGAAGGCTACAGTAACAAACCCTTTCATTTTATCATTGCCTTTCTACAGATTTTATTCCCTTTTTTTATAATTATATGGAATATTTTATCAGCTTACTTAAGATCAGATAATTCACAGTTAGGAGGTATCAGAGGAGTATTGCTTTGTAAAGGGAAGAGATTAACCAATTAAATGTCTTTTGAAGTCATACAAAGAAAAACATATATGATCAACTGCTGATTTCAAAAGATCTTGGAAAAAGTTGTTTTCACAGCACAGTTAGGAACATAAGAAATTTACAAATGAGAGGAGGCCATTCGGCCCATCAAGCTCGTTTGGGGAGAACTTAACTAATAGCTCAGAGTTGTTAAAATCTTATCTAGCTCTGATTTAAAGGAACCCAGGGTTTTAGCTTCCGCTACACTAGCAGGAAGACTATTCCCAGTTTTCAGATTCTCAAATCATTCATATGTCTTTCTGAGAGACACGGTTATTCACACTGTCACATCACATGCACAAAGCATCATGGCTTTTCCATCCTGTCCTTTCTAACCTGTCTTTATAGAAACGGTAATATCTAAAAGGTCTTAATCAGCTTAAACAGCATATGACATGAAGATTCTTGAAACAAGTCACAAAGCGTGCAGTTGAAACTAAATATTAAATAAATTTGCTTCATTTTGAGTGCATTAAAGACAGACCATTACATTTTTTTCAATATATTTACACCTCAGTTACAACTATGGCAGCAGCTGCCTGCAGTGCTGTGTTTCTGAAATACTGCAATTACTGCAAAATCTTCTGAACTATTGAAACAATCCTGGGAGGTAATCCTGAGTTTTGCAGTGTGTTTGCTATGCTTGAGTCCTTAAATCACAAGCCTTACATGGTATTTTGTCTTGGAATTTGGTGTTCAGACATTTTACACTCAATAGATGGGCCTCTTGCATTCTATTGGTTTACCAGGGTGATTAATATATGATGTTTATTATTTGCCTATCTTGTCATTGTGTAGTGATTAGTGCATCTCTTCTGTTAGATTACCAGCTTTATAAAGGCAAAACAGTAACTAAACCTTCTGTTAGGGGAGCAATAGTACATAAAATTCATGGTTCAGTACACATCTTGGTTTTGGGTTCACAGTTGTATATATAATAATTAAAATTTCCTACTTTATTTCATGAAACCCTGGGTTTTATCTGGGTTTTTATGAAGAATTTCTTATTTTACAACAGGAAAAATATCTATCCATCCATCTGTCACATCCTGCCTGACATTTGTTCCTGTTTCCTCCCGAGTGTGACCCTAATAAGCCATGCTTGTTCCTTGTTTGTCTAACCCTCTTGTTCCTAACCTTCATGTTAATCACCCACAGCTGCCTCTCCTTTGCTCCCTTGTTAGTCTAGTATATATGCGCTTCCTACTCCATTGTTCCCCAGTCCAGTTATTCATGTTGCTCTGTCTGTCAGCCCATGCCTTTCTAAATGTCTAGTCTTCTTGTTTTGATCTCATGGGGTCCTGTTTGTTTCTGGTACCAGTTTCTTTGCTTTTCTTCCAATAAAGCCCCTTTGTAGGCAGAGAGAAGGATTCCAATCTACCTGTACTCATACTTGTGCACATAACAGAAATCTAACCCTGGATGCAGGACACTGCAGTGCTACCTACTCAGTCTCACTGCCTGCCACCAAGTGGCAAGATTAAGGAATTGCAGGGGGGGTGTAATTTTTTAGGGGCATTTTTTCCTATAAGACATGTCTAGATGTGAGGCTGTTTTAATATTATTTGACTAGGAATTTGAATGGGCCTGTAGCATTTCCCAAAAATAAGTTTTAAGAAAACTCAGTCTCACTCTGATTGTACTGGGAAAAGAAATAAACCCATCTCACTTCATCCTTCATCCTCAGCCTAATTTATATATAACAGTAAATCATCTGTAGGTTAGTGCTGTAATGATATAAGCATTGCAGTCGTTTGCTTTTTTTGTTTTTCCATGTGTTCCATGTCTACTGCATTCTTGGGAGAATATTGTTAACAAATTGATTTATACATTGCAGTTAATATTTTTTCTGAAAATTCCTCTAAATTTCACCTCGACATTATGCTTTAAGCACCCCCAAGCCGCCATTGCTATAAACACTTCATTTCCATGCCCTTCCAACTCCCCAGACTTAAAAAAATAAATAAAAATCTTTATCATCCCTTAACTAATGACCTCTCACCTCCACCCCCCCGGATCCGGGTCACCGTGTTTGTTACAGTACTGATTCTGGAAAAAGTGGAAAAAGATGACTTGACCAATAAGACCTTGAAGATCACAGACTTCGGCTTGGCGCGCGAATGGCATCGCACCACGAAGATGAGCGCTGCCGGCACCTACGCTTGGATGGCCCCCGAGGTCATCCGCTCCTCCACCTTTTCCAAGGGCAGCGACGTATGGAGGTAGGCTGCCTCAAAGTGGAGATTTACAGCTTCATACTAATTATATTAGTGCAGAATTTCAGACACTCACTTGAATTTCCGATAGCATCATCTTTGTTTATTTCTTGAATTAATTTCAATGGATACTTCGATTGATTCTCATTTATTACAGTACAATTACACTTCCTGCCTATCCTCTTCCAAAAACATCAATATGCTATTACTGCTCTTCAGGTATTAAAAATCTGGGTTCCGCTATTTCTGTCTGAAGATGGGCTTCGCCCACATTGGTAGTCAGAGCTATAGACATGCACACTGCTCCAGTTACAGTAGCTACTCTATTATCTGTACTATTTATGGATGAGGGATTAATAAGTGTGTCTTTCACAGATGGTCAGTGGAGTAGACGGTCTGTCTCAGACAAACACACGGCCGACTGGAATTTGTCGGCTGACCTTTTTGAATTCCTTCATTGTGACATTTATCTCTGTTGTGGTTCCTTCATTCATTGGAGAAGAATAGTCTGGGTGACCTCCGATTATATATATATATACATGTTTTTCCTCTCTGTTTCCCTCTCTCCTGTTTTCTTCCTTTCTCAGTTATGGGGTGCTGCTCTGGGAGCTGTTAACTGGTGAAGTGCCGTTTCGAGGGATAGATGGTCTAGCCGTGGCTTACGGCGTGGCCATGAACAAACTGGCACTGCCAATCCCCTCCACCTGTCCTGAACCCTTTGCCCGCCTTATGGAGGGTAAGATCTATGGTCCTCTCTAGATGCATTATGTAAAATTGCCTCCATCTATTTGTTTATTAGTCTTTGTAGCATTGCCACATTGTTGTGGTACAGTTGTTAGTGGGTGGAGGGGTGGCTCTGAGGCTAGGGGGTCTGTGCTGGTAATCAGAAGGCTGTTGGGTCGAATCCCATGAATGCCAGGAGTGATTCTACTCCAGTGGGCCCTTGAGTAAGATCCTTAACCTGCCATTACTTTGTCCTGGGTGGAGGGATGGCTCTGAGGCTAGGGGGTCTGTGCCAGTAATCAGAAGGTTGTTGGGTTGAATCCCATGAATGCCAGGAGTGATTCTACTCCAGTGGGCCCTTGAGTAAGATCCTCAACCTGCCACTGCTTTGTCCTGGGTATGTTCTTAATCTACAAGCAGGTCCTCCAACGTCCACGATTAGCACTCCAGCCACCAGAAAAAAACGTCACACTGTTCCATTCTGTTTGAACTAGTGTAGTGCTGAGGTGCGGTGGGTGTGACAATGTGTTGTATCAGCATGTGCTCCTTACCTCATAGTTACAAGGGATACACTGTGTTTACACAGTGAGTTATCTGAATAGACTTTTCAGTTTCACTTGTGACATTAGCTCTGTTAAGGGAAATCCCACATAAAATATATGGTCAATTTTAACCTAGTCATGATTGTATAGTATTTCATACACCTTTAAAAATGTATCTTTGAATTGTATAGTGATACTTATTGACTATAATCTGTAGATTTACAAATTCTCCCTTTTCCTACTCTTTCTTGAGGGGGGTCACTGGGCAGCCTCAGTCACTCAGCAGCACTTCTGGGGTGGGGGGTTAAGGGCTTACATACATGTGACTGTTCTGCTGGGGGTTGAACCAGTGACCTTCCATTGCGAGCCTCAGAAGCTGATCCCACTGAGCCACACACTCTCCCAGTGGTCAGGGAAATCTTCACGCTGTGATATCATTAAAAGGCATTTCTCTTATTATTTTTATTGAATAATAAATACAGACATAGTCTTCTGAAACAGAAAACTGTTGGATATCAGTTTAAATAACTAAAATGACAGCATTAAAACAAAACAATTTATCAGTTCTATTTATAAAACTTGGTTGAGCAACCTTTGGCAAGGATAACTATCTCCTAACACTTACTGGACCCCATAGTTAACTTGCTGCACCTTCCCACTATTTTTGAAATGTTCAAAAGGTTCCATCCTATAAATCCTTTTTTCAAGTTCCATTGATTCGGATTGGATTCATCATTGCCCACCTAAGGACAATCCAATGGTTTCTTGTTCTGCTGTTCTTTCTGAGCTACTCTGAGGTGCTTTTAGATTTAGGTTTGGAATCACCATTCTGCTGTATGATCCTTTGTCCTCTTTGCTACAAATAATAAGTATTCTTCTGACCTCGATTTCAACATCTGCTGCATGTATTCCTGTTTTTTTGCAAAACTGTCAACTGCTGATACTGATTCAAATTCCTTTTAAAATAAATGATCCAACACCGGATATAGATTCTAAACGCACTAATATGAGTAGCAACATATGGATATTTTAAAATTATGTTGGAATTTTCTTTAAACCCTCAATTTCTTATAATTAAACCTCTTGCCTTCTAGATTGTTGGAATCCAGACCCCCATTCTCGCCCTCCGTTCACCAGTATCTTGGACCAGTTGACAGCCATTGAGGAATCTGGATTCTTTGAGATGCCTGTTGAGTCATTCCATTCACTTCAGGATGACTGGAAGCTGGAGGTCCAGGAGATGTTTGACCAGCTGAGGGCTAAGGAGAAGGCATGTACTTCCTAACAAGATTTCTCACTCAAACATAACTAGACACATGAAAGAATGTTGTTTTTTTTTTTTTACTAAACACTGACTCGTGATGCTTGAATATCACATCGCTGACGGTCCCCAAGGAGCTGCGATCGTGGGAGGAGGAGTTGAGCCGAGCCGCACTGCAGCAGAAGTGCCAGGAGGAGGCACTGCGGAAGAGAGAACAGGAACTGGCAGAGCGCGAAATTCACATCCTGGAACGGGAGCTCAATATCATCATCCACCAGCTCTACCAGGAGAAGCCGCGGGTGGAGAGCCGGCAGGGCAAATTCCGGCGGAGCCGCCTGAAGCTGAGGGACGGGAATCGTATAAGTCTGCCTTCAGGTACACGCATGAAACAGCAACATTTCAGTCAGTCCCCAATGCTGAAAATATTAGCATGAAATGTCCCTACAGGCTTTGATGGCTAAATAGTTACTTATGTTGAAAATGACTTTAAAACTGTAATGCAACTAATACATTAGGACACTATTACAGAAGCGTACATCATCCATGGCCTTACCAAACACTGCTCGAACGCTTAATTACAATTACGCATTGTTAGGTAAGTTTTTATTTCTATTTTTTGTCATTTATAGGGACAACTAGTTTAATAATGCATGCACATATTTACGTTGGCAAGACAAGGCAAGTTTATGTATATGGCACTATCATGTGCATAGGTCATTCAGTGTACTTTAAATAAAATAAAATAAATAAATTAAATAAAAGAAGCATACAAAAATACAAGTAAAAATACATAGTAAAAAAGAAAACAATTGATACACAGAAGGACGGAACAGAATATAATAAACAGTGATAAAATAACAGTAGAATCAATGTGGAAGTAGTTTCTAACTAAAAGTGCACATTTTTGAAGAGATTAAAAGCAGCAGGTGAAAGTAGAGGGAACTAAATAAAAGGGCAAGTATTGTGCAACAAGGATAAACGTAAGACAAATAATTCATTGAAGGCATACATAGTTTAACATAGTTTATAAACATACCTTCGCTTGATTTCAGATTTCCAGCATAAAATCACAGTGCAGGCATCACCCACGTTGGATCACCGGCGGAGTTTAATCAGCAGCAGCTCCAGCCCTCCTACCAGCCCTCCACTGCTGCCCCGCCTACGGGCAATACAGCGTAAGTAACCAGGCAACCGCCTCTCCTCTGCAGCTGCCGGGATAGTGCATTTAGCATCCATTTAGCATTGAGCATCCACTTAGCATTTAGCGTCCATTTAGCATTTAGCATCCACTTAGCATTTAGCATCCATTTAGCATTTAGCATCCACTTAGCATTTAGCATCCATTTAGCATCCATTGTGTGTGGATCTTCTGTAAGGACAGCGTGGCTTTTGTCGATAAATGTCTTCTTTGTTCAACGTCTTGATTGCTCATCTCTAGTGATCTTTATGAATGTGATAAAACATAATAACTTGGCATTAATTTAATAGTGTAAATGAGCACGGTGGGTTACGTCACACTCTTGCATTTGTTGTGCAATTTTTTTTTTTGTCTTACATTTTGCCCTCGTCCCCCGCAGTTACCCCTGCAAACAGTCATAAGGCGAGGGGGCGGGGTTCCGCTTTTCAGCCAGATGAGGATGACGAGAAGAAAGGTCCACGAAGGAAGAGCCGCGCTTGGAGGTCAGACACACACTGTCACCGAGAGCCGTAAAACGCCCATTGCGGGCCTGGAGGCTCAGTCGGGTGCTTTAATTCGCATTTATGTCAATTTAATTTCCACATCTTTGGCTTCTCTGTCCACCTGCCTTGTATGACTAGTGAAAAGACTACATCAGAGGGCAACAGGCAGAGGTCCAGCAGTGCCCCAAACCTGCGAAGGTCACCCCGGCATAGTCCTGCTGTACCAGGGGTTCCCAGTTTGGCAGAAATGGGTGAGGATTGGCACAGAATACAACACCTACTACTGACCTACATGCGTACATAGACATTAATATGTAGCTATTTATAATACTTAAGTAAAAATTTATTAAAATTAGGTATATTAGTTTCATGACTGCCAAAAAATTCAGTATTATACTACTTCATACATTATTCTCTTTATCAGTGCGCAAACAGTTCTTAATTTGGTTATTCTTGCTTTTAAATCCGAGTCTAACTGGTCAGAAGTGAATAAGCCGTAATGTCTTGGGTCCTGAATTTGTATGATAATGTTCGCATTATAAACATTGGAGATCTGTACTCTTTGCAGAAAATGAAGACGTCTGTTTCACCTCGGAGACCGTGGAATCTTCCAGCGGTTCCTACCTTTGCATCCCCTTCCACAGGGAAGGACACATTTCACACAGTAATAATGTGGACCAAGGAACCACAGCCCAAGCCCCCGACATTTGCTCCGGTTCTGCGAGGCGAAGCCCAAGCGGGGCGCGCCGGACAGATCTGGTGCTGCTGGGCTGTGGTGCCGTATTAGCTTCCGTGGGGCTGGGCTTCGACCTCATGGAACTTGGCAGGCCGGAGGAGAGTAGCAAGCCACGCTGGGAGGGCTTCTTTCACCGTGCCGGGGGCCAGCGACGGAGTACCAGCCCCCCCACGCGGAAGCTGTTTCGCTGGGAGAGTCCACTAAAGCCCCCAGCCCCGCTGCAAATTCAGGCCTTTCCTAACTCCCTGACGTTGTTGTCCCTGTCTTCTGTTTCTGACTGCAACTCCACCCGCTCCCTGTTACGTTCGGACAGCGAGGAGCTGTTGGTCTACAGGCCTGCATCCCCTCAGCCTGAGGCCTGCCTCGCTCAAGCTGTTCCACTCAATCCTCTAGTTAACACTCAACTCGAAAGCTTCAAGCGACACCCCCGACAGTCACTCACCCCAACGCACATCCCCTTTACCCCCAGCGATTTGCACAGTTTGCACCGAACTCCGTCGGATGGAGCTATCAAGAGAGGATGCCCTGCAATTAATCATCAACCACGGCCTATAGAGGAGATCCCAGAAACTACAGGTTAGGATGAGTAGGCGTTTTTGAATTTAGGTTAGTTGTTATTTTTTTTCACATATAAAGGTTTAAATGCATGATCATTTCTTGTCACATCAGCGCAAATGCACATAAAATAAGTACGCATTTGTGCTGTTACAACTATTGATTGCTGCACGTATCGCCTTTAAAGGTGAATGTGTACTTGCGTTATGTGCATCCCTGACTATAGTAACAGTTTCTGTTTATGACATCATAAAAAAACCTGAAACAAGTGGGAATGTGCAACTATGGACACTTCAGACAGCCAAAAACACTGATTCTCTATCAATACACATCCTTTTATATATAATATAACTGATTGATGTTTTCATATCAGGCAGTATAGATCTAAGACCTTGCTAAACTAAATATGATCCTTCTGCATCCCAGAAGAATCTTTATCATATTGTTTTCTGTGTGTTTGGAAATTTTGGTATATTTTGGTTTGCAGTATTTTGAGGCTTTCATGTAATCATTAAGTACATTAAAAAAAAAATTACACATATGGTTTGTGTGATCTTTTGAAATAATGAGTTAAATATAAACTTGAGGATATTCAATAAATAGTAACTTTAGTGTTACGTAGAAACATATTTTAACTTGTGTAATGGCGATGCGCATTGATTTGGCTTGTAACTCTTTCTAGATGGAAGCACGAAAGGCATAAGACCCAATGATGCTGAGGTCCCCCGCCTGCCAGACCCAAATGTGGTTTTCCCTCCCACGCCACGTCGTCGCTGTCCCCCCGAGAGACCCAAAACTTTAGATTTCCTGGCTCGACCTCGCCCTTTACCTCGAGCCCGCTTCGAGTTCTGCCGCGGGGACTCCGCTGATGGCCACGACAGAGGAGGTAGACTCAGCACCGGAGAGTCCCCCAGCCACACCTATAGTGCCGAGTCCCCCACAGCTTTGAGGTCTGAAGGGGTTGTAACGGTCCTCCCCACCCCCATGGAAGCCCCAACGCCATGTTCATCACGGAAGTGCAGTAGTCTGCTCGACCAACGAGACGAGGGCCAGCGGCAGGATGAGACACGCCCCCTCTGCGTGCCCGAGTCCGAGGTGTCCAACGGCTCCCCCTACAGGTCGCAGCTAGGTTTCTGGTCCTAACTCAGTCCCAGCCCTTCTGAACTTGCTTGTATCAACTTCTCATAAAATAACCTACCTTGGGAAGGAGAGAAGGAAAAGGACATTATATTTTTGAATGTTCCTTCATAAGCTTACATATATGGACCATGCTATGACACTACAAACTGTTAAATTGACATTTTGCTGCTTTTGTTTTATAACAGAGGTGCAAAAATGACTCTCCCCTTAGATATAATTTTTGTTCCTAAGTAATATCAATCCTATGTTCATCTTCTGTGGTTTGTATGGTGCTAATTTATGGTGTTCATTTCTTGATGTTTCAGTGGGTAACAGGCACATATCTGAAACGTTAAAGAACAAGCAGCTGGGAGCAAGATATTCGGAAAATACTTTAACTAGTTTGTTAAGCTTTTCTGTTTGTACAACAGCTCCCTTAAACGTGGTTCATGAACTAGATCATGAATGTGAAATGTGATTCATATGAAGTGCTTGGGTTTGGAGCGAAATGAGGCAAGTGTTTTTTTTTGCCTGCAAACCTCATAACTCCATTACACTGGCAAAGCTCTGTATGTCACACATATGAATGTGAGTATATTTTACCTCTTATGTCATTAGTATGAGCAAGGACATTTAAATGCAGGATCCGGTATATGAATGTTATCACGGCTGCTATAATACGATCTTCAGTTTTATTCTGTATTCTACTCTGCGTACTGTTCCCTGTGTATTGTATATGTCTGCATTTTAGCAAATGTTCTTTTACAGAGTATAGAACCGGTGGGCACATTAATGCAGGGGCGCCATAAGGCGGGAGAAAATTAGGACGATTCCAAGGGCCCCTGAGTGACAGGGGGCCTAGGAAATTTGAAAAATAACTGGATTTGTCTGGACTGGGGGGCCCAATATGATATGCCTACATGGGGCCCAAAATTTTTAGCAATGTCCCTGTATCAATGGGATATTAAAATATACGTACGGAATTCCACATTCATTTCTATATAGAGTTTAGAATTTCAACAAAGAGCATGTGGCCCAAATTACAATGTAGGAAATCCCAAAGATTTATTTAAAAAGCTGTAAAAAGGGTCAGAGCAGGGGTTCGAAATTCCAGTCCTCACACGCAGTGTTATCATATCAGCTGAACTCTGAATGTATTCACCCCTTTTAAAGATGCGTATAAAAGGAACGTTTATTGAGTAAAGATAAATCTGTAGATTTCATGTAAATCATTAGTAGATCTGAGCCCTTGCAGAGTTAAGAATGAAGAACTGATTCATTGCATCTTACTTAAAACACTGTAATAAGTTTCAAATTTCAGGAGTCTGAGGTAAAGGGAAAATCATTTAATATCATTATATTGTAAAGATATGAAGTTGTTTTCATTTTTAATATTCCACAGATTTGGTTATGAAAGGTGTTGAAGTGTTTTGCATCACAAGATTAATTCGATCATCGGGGGGGTACTAGAGTTGCCAGGTTTCCCAGTCTGTCGAATTGTAGATATCTTCTCAGTAGGTAGCAGTTGTATAAATTCAAGTATTTAACATTGTAGCTCAGCATGCATCTTATTTAAAGAACAGTGAAAACAGGCCCTGGAGGCATGTCTTTTTACTGGTTTAATATTTATTTATTAAATATTTGTATTTATTTTCTGATTTGCTTTAAACTGTATTTGATTACTTTTATGGAAATGTTCGGATATTCAAAATATTGTCAGAAAAGTGTTAAATACAGTGCTCTTGGAATCTTAGGATTCTTCTTATCATTTGCAGGATTCCTATTGCGATAGGGAGTAGTGTCTTCCAGGTAGCTGCTATTGTCCTTTGTTTCCAGACGCATCCAAAGTGAACCTGTGGACAGGAGTTGGCATTCTACCTTTGGTATTTTGCATTGTGAAGGCTAAGTAGCGTTTGAAGAAAAATATTGTAATCTAAATAAACATTCAAAGAACAGATTCAGTCTGCGTAAAAGTAGTGATGTTTGCATTAAATGGATCACAGGGTATGGTTTATTTTTGTTAATGCATTATATATCATACACTTTACATATCAGTCATTAGTGGGAGACACATTTTACTGTAAAATTTAAAAATAGGGTCTATTTTTGCATGTGCAGACAGAAGGGATGGCATGACAGTACTCACTCAAAACTGGGTAGCCCAATATAGATAAGCAAATGTATATCTTCGTATCTACAGCTCAGTACATATCAGCTTTCGCATTCTCTGTTATCTACAATATATTGCAATATCTGGCATAAGCAAATATTAGTTTATGTAACCCAACCCCTTACTTCCATTTAATGATAACAATCCCACAACAGTCTTGTTTCCCGGATGCTTATTTTAAACATCAATGCATTTACCAGAAATAGCTGTGGACCTTTAAGTGAGGCGGCTGTCTTTATAATTAAAAAATAATTAACTACTTTCAAAATATGCCTGTTCTCTGACTGTAGTTGGACATCATAACATCTGTGGTCGCTACCCTTATAATGCAAAATAATGATCATATAAAAAAAATGGTTGTCATTTTCTCTTTGAGGGGAGTTCTTCCTTGCCACCTTCTGGGGACCTTGGACCCAGGATTCTGTAAAGCACTTTGTAAATGAAATTGAATTGAATTTTCTGCAAAGAAATGAATTATGAATGCAAATACTGTTGGAAAATATCTTTGATGTATGAACCAAGTATGAGCTGAATTTAACGTATAAATGATCTGCTAAGGAGATCTTGTTACAGTTACACCCACTGTTATGGCTGCAGTATTTTTGTTAACTTAATCGTACTCTTCTTGGATCAAATATACTTAAATTAAAAGCCACATTAAAACATATTTCCACTTAAGTAGGTGGACACCTAATTTGATTAAATGTGTTTCAGTGAGTTGTGTGCATTGTATAGGGGATGGACAAAATTATGCAAACACAACATGAAAAAGTGCTTTAAAATAAATGAATCACAATTACAAAGGCAGCTACAAAGATGAGTCATATTAGGTTGAATGCCAATTAGGAAGCTGTACAAGAATTTTCACAAACACCACAACGAAGACAAAAAGCATTCTATAGCCTCTGCAGTCACCATGGGTGTTTCTCAATACCAAGAACACAAAGATCGTATTTATGATCTCGGCAAGATCAGTCTTACTAACTTGCCTCAAACAACAAACAACAACAAACTTTGAACACAGTGAATCATGGGACTGTTCTCATTTGGCGAGGATGCAACCAATGCGTCCTTGATATATAGGATGGGGCAAGAATGACATCAGAGGGTTTTTACCATCCTCTGTACTGGTGTTCTTAGTATTGGAACTGGTCTTCGGCAATGGAAGATGACGTAAAATGGGGACACACAAGTACGGTCAAGTACATGTATGCATATTGAAAAACACCCCAGGTCTAAACATCATTGAATCATTTTGGGACACAGTGTGAAATACACTTCCACTTCCTTCGTCCCTCAAGGGAATACAGGCTTTTCTTCTTGAAGAATGGTCCAATATCCCACTACACTCAGTTTAGTAATGTTCATGTACAAAAAAGGTTGAAGCTGTTCTGAAGGCAAAAGCTGACCCTATTCTAAGGTCCTGGACATTATTACATTGTTAGATGTTTTCATTGTTTTGTCCACCTCCTCTATGTCTATTTCTACTACTATGATTGTAAAAGTATTTGTCCCATTTCTGATTCCCTGTATGCTTGCATGTTTTTGAGACTTATTTTCTATGAAAATATTAAATGAGGAAATCTGAGAGGGAAAACAACATTTTGATATTTCTTAACTGTGCAGCACGCAGTAACCCTGGGTGATATAGCAATCACACCTTTACACTCAGTGACTGATTCAAGGGCGTAGGTTTGGTTTCAGTATAGGTAGAGACTAACCCAGCCCTGAACCCCCCCTCCGTCTGCCGAAATACACATAGTACTCTAACAGTATTGGTAGGGACATGTCCTTAAGGTCCATACCCAAATCTGCGCCCTTGATTGTACAGTTTTTCACAGCAAATCAAACCTTTCCTGGAATTATTAATTTTGCAGTTCACAATCAAGACCTACTTTGTCTCCGTTAGGGATGTTAGTTTCAAAAATACATTATTCAGGTCTTGACCCAAAACATTTAGATCTGCATCAGCCAAATCAAATATTCCATTTTTCTTCATATTTTCTGCTGTTGATTTGCTAATGGCATTTCACTGTTGACAGTTTCCTGTTCAGTTCATAGGATGAACATTACCAAGACATTTGCCTCCAGTCTCATTTATTGGACAATAAAGGTCTGATTCCATCAAAGCAGTTATCCATCCATTCTCCACACCCATTCCAAAGAGCCAAAGGGCAGCCTATTCGAAGATCCGCCACATTAGACCTGGGCAATATGGCAAAATGTTTTATCACAATTTTTTTTTTCAGTCAACATCAATAATTATCACAATATAAGTCATACAGTAATTTCTTTAAGACTCCATTTTTGCTTAGAATTCCCTTCGGATTCCTCCATAAACAGATTCAGAAACATGAAAAAGGTGACAAACTGAATGGACTACAAACCAAAATCTAATTTTAATAAATCATACAAAATAAACTCTTTTGTCATATGGTGTAACACTAGAAAATGCCGACAGTACAGTTTGTTGCTGGGTTTTTTTTGACTATCTGACTTTCTTCCCTGCCGCTCGCTCCAAGGATGAGTTTCACATCGCTAGCAGAGTTGTCACCTGTCCCATTCTGAAGGAATACGTGTTCTCACGTGTGTAGTTTGCGACCATCAACACTTGCATCCGGTATGTTCCATTTGACGGCGATGCATCAAGCGGTGAATTATGTTTGCAGCATTTTCAGTTTAAGTTGGGACAGTACAAAGCACCAAGTCTGTTGCAAAAAAAAATAAAAATTGCAAAAAGTACAACCACACCACCATCTTTTACCTTGTTTGCTATCAAACAATATTCGTTACTGGTAGTTTATCAAAGTTTCTCATTTTATCATTGAAATTTTATATGACGAGGAGTCAATATCGCTTATATCGCACAGCCCTACACCCCATACACCAAGGCCAGTCTGAATGCGTGTAAATAGCAAATTAACACAATATCCTAAACTTAACAAAAAACTTACAAGGTTAGAAAATTTTGTATCACTTTACAATAAGGCTCCCTTTCACCACTTATAAATGGTAGTAACTCATTAATAAAAAAAACACAGTTATAATTAGTTTATGATTGTATATTAGTGATTTACAATTAATAACCTGACTATACACGATTCATACACCCATTATGAGGGTAGTCTTGCAAAGTGGGACCATAAAAGGCATATTAAGATGAAGGACACTGGTAGGCTGAACAAACATTACTATCATAGGATGGTGACCATACTCAACGGAAAGCCTGGTGGAGGGAAAAGTGACGTCCAAACTGTGTTCTGTTTTGAATAATAAAGCGAATCCTCTCAATAGACAGCCGCTACAGTTGAGGAACTTCTGCAGCTTCAGGCTCATCTCCCCAAGACACAAAACTAAGCACTTCAGACGCCTCTCTGTGCCTCTTGCCACGTCATCATTGCCAGGCAGCTAGGAAAGCTTTTCTTGATTCTGCCTCGGAGTCACCGCCCAGAGGGTCATGTCTGGAACATCTCCCTGGGGAGTCGAGCAGGTGGCATCCTCATTAGACGCCCAAACCTCAGCTGACTCCTCTTAATTTGAAGAAGAGCATCTCTGAACACCTGACTGTCACAGAGACTAAGCCCAGCAATCTTGCCAGAGAAACCTCATTTTGGCTGCTAATGCTCATGATTTTGTCCTCTTGATCATCACCCAAAGCTCATGACTAAACATGAGAAAGGAGACGGGAGACTGACTAGTAAAGCAGGAGCCATGTCTGGTGGCATAAACACTGGCATCACCACTACAGGCCTCCTCAGTGCCTTCAAAACTACAGTCACTGAAGAAGCACCACTCCCAAAGCTGACTTGGTACTTGGGGTTCCTGGTGACCACGATCCACACAGCATACTCTATAGCAATGCTTCCCAACCCAGTCCTCGGGGTACCCCGGACAGTCCACATTTTTGCTCCCTCCCAGCCAATCAGGAACACCGAATACCTGTTACAGGTGCGCTGGGAGCTGAGAGGAAGCAAAAACGTGGACTGTCCGGGGTTCCCCGAGGACTGGGTTGGGAAACACTGCCCTATAGTGTACAATCATCATGGTAATAAAGGGTTGTGTTTAACAAGGCCCCTCCCTGAAGACCTTTTCACTACAGAGATCTCTATCAACAACCTAAGGCTGAAGTGCAATACAACACTGGGGATCTTTGGAACAATTTCTAACAACATGTGGATTAAGAAATCTTGTCCACGGCATATAACGGAATTGAATTAAATTTAGATCTTCTGACACATCACTGGCATCTGTACTCAACTGCATACCACATGAGCTACATTAGTGTAACAAAGTTTTAATGAAAACATCATGTATTGTACCTGACACAATAGTAGCAACATCAAATCAACACTTAGACTAATAACCACAACCCTATGCTGGATAAGTTACAGAAGATGAACATAAAGAAACATCACAGTTAAAAAATTTATATATATATATATATATATATATATATATATATATATATATATATAATATGCTTAATCGTGTAGCATAACAATTGAGACATAGAGAAGTTTATCTGTAAAAGCAGGGATTATTAACAAAAATACATGAGATAACCCAACCATATATATCATAAAGTATTAAAACTAACAAGTGGACCCTGTGTCACAGAGCTGTATACTCCGTGCACTTCAAACTGGTAACGTATGAAATAAACAAAATCAATCGACCGTCGCTTCTCATAATGCTCTCTCTCTCGGAAAGTGATGTCTATTGAAAGGTGTATAGCAGTTTGGCAGCCAAAGCCAGGAGCATGGTGCAGTGCAGTGTTTGTCAAAATGGTCCTCAGGGGCCGCCAGACAGAAGGAGCTAAAATGTGGATTGTCTGGCAGGGAGCTGGGAGGGAGCAGAAACATCTCTGGGGGTCTCCGAGGACCAGGCTGAGAGTCGCTGGTATAGTCAGTAGTTTGATTCGACCTGCACAGAGCTGCATATTGGGTGAGTAAACCCAAATAACATAGACGGACACTCATTCTATTGGGTGAGCAAAACAGCCAGGTTCTGCTCTTTTAACATCACAATGATATATACTGTTGCCTAGGCACCTACATTTTTATGGGGGGAAATTAAGTACATAGTGCTATTGTCTAACCGCGTTATATCGTTTGAAGAAACCTGCTGTGTCACGAGAAGCCAATAGCTGACAGCGTGCACATGGCAGAGGTGTGCGGCAATATTCACCTGTATCGATCGGGGCGTTACTGTACTGCGACAGTGCTAATGTCCCATGCCTCACTAAAAAAGTTTTTCGATTTTTATTTTTCTTGCATGTGAATGTTATGTTTATCTGAAGCAATATTTAACCAAAACAGGTTTTCACAAAACTGGCAAGTACAAAAGACGCATTTGTGATTTTTTTTTTTTTAGTAAGTCATAAAACGATGCAGGAATACTACCTTCCGCACACAATATTAAAAGAGCATTTCTGTGTAAACATCAAGCGGCTTATGAGGCCTCTTTTTCTCTCGGGGTGCTGCGACGGATCTTCATCTCTGTCAGCTGGATGTAGCGGATTACATTGGTGTCTGGAGCACAGTGACAGGAAAAGCTGTTTTATGCAAGGCAGTAACATAGGAAACAAAGACCACTAATTCCATGCCAGGGCCTCATCTCTTTTAAAGCTTAGCATTTAGCTTAAATGCTTTGTTTTTCTAATCTTATTGACACCTGAATACAAAATTTTTTAAACTGCCATCAATTGCTTCATATATACATATAAATAACTGGTGCCTACCAGAAGGTTGCTGTTTATGTGACTCTTTCAGGTAGTGAAGAGCCTTGTTAAAGTCTCCCAGGTGATAATAAGCAACCCCAGATCGGTACAAGGCCTTGAAGTTCTCCCCTTCCTTGCAAAGGACCTTCAGACAGTATTCCTTGACACGCTCATAGTTCACCAACTCCATCTGCAACAAGCAAGCTACAACAAAAGATGTCTTACATAAAGCCACGATGCATCCATTAGCAAAGCAAGAATCAGAAAACACTCACCCCAATCACATTTTCGTCAAAAATAGAAAATACGATCAAAAAGTAATCTAACCGTGAAAAATACAGCTACCCTACTTTATTACTGTATTACGATGCATTTTTAAAAAATCGAAGATTAAAAATCGTTCAAAATGTCCACACTTTGTGAAATTATTATAATCGCAGCCGATATTTTATATATTCCAATTCCATATTAATTATGCAATCAATATGCTTAAAATTGCATTAAATCATGCAAGACTGTATTTAACCCGTACTAGCCTACTATTATTGATGTTGTCATCTGTGCCTCGTAAAAATCAGACAATAACTACAATTACCTGCAAGACTGTTGTAACACTCCAGCTCGGCGTTCTCTACTGCGCCCCTTTCTTCATCTGTCAAGGCGGAGTGGCTCATAGTTTTCAGCGCAGATGAGGGAGACCTGGAACTAACATCGGAATCCCCCAGCATCCTACATAACCCCTTCATCTCAAGCAGCGCCCGATGGTACTTGCCGATCGCCTCTCTGTATTTTTTATCCTTGTAGCACTGCGTCCCCTGCGTCTTGAAATCAAGAGCCCGTTTAACTAAGTCTGCAGGCTCGGAATGCGACGGCTGCTTGAGGACGGAGGCGGAGTGGTGACGGATATGTTGCTGGGAGCGTGTGTCTCTCATCCGGCTACCCGGAGGATGGATGCACTGCTGCAGCGTGGACGCACCGACGATGCTGCTTCCACCAACACTGCCGCCACCCTCCGCTCTCTTATAATTCCCATCGTATGCGGTCTGCCTTTGACTCATTTTATCATTTACATACAGTTTAATACGTACTTAAACACATATGGAATACGACAGATTTAATATTCTAATGGAAACCCGCAAGCTCCGATTTCCCTTTCGTCGTGCACATACCCAGTATTCTCCAGTAGCGTAGCGTAGCTCCCCGTCAGCGCTTCCTACTGGTGCCCGCTTTGGTCATTATTGTGCTCGATAAATAAAATGGGTTTTTTTTTCTACGCGTCATGTAAAATTCTCTCCTCTATGCTTGGCGACAAAAACATTGCATTTCTGTCACGTTAGTAAGTCATCGCTGTTCCTATTTCTTTAAAGTGAGAAAATGAACATACTATATATGACGTTTTACATACAAGAGCCGAATAGATATGTCGCGATGTACGTTTGTTTTAGTTTTCCCGATCTGGGCTTCTTTATACTTCCAACATAGCCCATTACGGATCTCACTTAATTATTATTTTTTAAGTTAGGAACATCCTGTATATGACAATATAATCACAAAACCGTTTAAAACATTTCATTAAAGTTAAATGTGGAAATATAAAAGCTTATCATTTGAACGAAACGTTTACTATAATTGAAGTAATTTACCTGTAATTTAATAGGTATTGGAGTCGCCTATGGTTTGTTCAGGTGCGCCAGCTTCCTATATATGGAGTGTAGGTTGAGTTATTAGGAGTTTGCTGGCTTGCCACTAATGCAGTGAAGCGTTTTCCAGCCCTGGGTCTCTGTGTGTTTTGTGATTTTATATGTTATATATTTATATTGAATCATATTTATTTAGTTTTTTTGTTTTGTTGACATTTAATTTTTCTATCCCAGTTGTTTTTCAGTGTTCATTTTTCACCTTCCACTGTACTTATAGGCATCACTATCCATGCATCACCTCATCCTTGTCAGGATTCATTTTCATTTTTCCCCCCTATCAGCTGACAGCTATACTGCAGCAGGCCCTAATTGGTGTAAAGCAAGGAACCAATTTCATCGGAGCGTTGTGGAGGGCTAATCAGAGATAGCTAAGCTAGCTGGAACTCCGGTTGAATGGATAAAGTGGGACTGCATCTCCTCATCCTCCCCCCGGTATGGGCATAAATTAATAGTTAAATGTTAGACTCAACCAGAGCCCACAGGTCTTCCATCCAAGGCAGTGAGAGCACATGGCTGATCCAGAATGGTTTGGAGATCCTGAGCTACCTGGCTAGCCTATGGTCCATTAAAAAGTTTCCTTCAGCACCAGATGCCATAAAAACCTTAACAGGATATTGTTCATTGTCCCAGGGAGTTGCGAGAAGGACCCCAGGCATCACATACTCAGGAGCGATGGTGGTACTCCCATCCCTGGACAAGTTCTGGATTTTTCCTAAATGCTCCGGACAGGAGGCTAGTTGCAACACGGCCGCCTCATAATCATTTCACCTTAACCCATAGCAAGGGGTTTGAATCTGAATCTGTGTGCACCTGCATGAGTTGCAAGTGCTTCTTCTGGGTATTCCACTTTCCCCCTACTGTCCAAAAACCTCCAGTTAGGTGAATCTCAAAATTGTATATCATCATGTGTGCACTATGTTAGACTGACATCCCATCCTGGGTGCACCTGGCCTAATGCACCCTGGGATAGGCTCCAAGCTGCCTGATACTGCACTGGATAAGTGCCAAATTATTACCTTAAAAATGTTTAGCAATAAAAATATATTTACAGAAATCTCGGTCATGTAACATAAAGTTTTGTTCACATTCATGACCTAACTAGTAGATGGAACTAAATTAGCATGTATATCAGACTGCAGGATTGAACCAAAGGTTTTATGTAATAATTTTAAAGAAAATCCCCAGTTCTTAGACAGCAATATTGCTGGATAACTGTATGATGCAATAATTAAAATGAAAAGATGAAAGTCCGTCATTTTAACTTTGTAATAGCAGTAGTATCTATACGTTTACAGCACGAAAGTTCATAAACTCACTATTGTCAATACGTTGGTCTAGCAATGGAACTACAACCCAAAAGAAGCTACCTAGTTCATTATAGCAACAAAGACAATTGTCGTCATCTTCATTCGACAAAGGTAACGTAACGTCATGACATAAGGACGCTGCTCGAATCGGTAATATTATCAAGATGGCGGCGGTTGATTTAAGAGGTGCTGTATTTATGTCGTACTCTCATTTGGTTTTAGAAGGCTTCTCTAGTTTTCCCTTTTCCCATTAATAAAATTAAAGTTATTCCTGATTTTCCACAAAAATTGAAGGTTATAGAGTTTTTTTTTTTTTTAAACATTTGAATGAAACCTACTTGCCTAGTTATTTTGCTAGCTAGCTATTAAGAAGTAAATGACTATCGTTGTGTGTTTATTTGAATTACAAACTGGTTAATGCTTTTGGTTAAAATTAATTTTCTGTATCGCTTTTCTAGACAACCTTTTAGGAATATCCTGGGTAGACAGTGGATGGGTACCTATCTTAAATCCTGGAAATGTGCTCGACTACTTTTCCGAGAGAAGTAACCCCTTCTACGATCGTACATGCAACAACGAGATGGTCAAGATGCAGCGTCTCAGTCTAGATCATCTGAAGTAGGTTTTTTTTTTTGTAGTTTCATGTTGGAAAATATAGTACGTGTTCAGACAGCTATCAATATATTTTATATATTTAAGTATTATCAGTAAACGTACAGTTTAAAGATTTACGTGCCTCAGGTCTTGGGACCTTACGATTTTTATTATCAACTACTTGTTTATTGTCATTCACCCTTTATGCTGTATTGCACCCTTTATGCCGCTGCATTGTGTATTATTGTGTATATACATGTATGATGTAAGCATTTAGTGACCTATTTTACACTGTGCTGTGTATTTTTCCATTGGTTCGGTGCCTGTTGTGGTCCTGAGATTTAGAATTGCACGCGGGGCGTGCTGGGACAGTATTAAAAAAGGAATCTGGTCGAGGAATCTGCTCGTCAACCAAGTTCTGTACGCGAACCAATGCATGGTTTTCACGACATTTTTGGTCGTGAACCAAATTGTTCGTAGACCACGGCGTTCGTGAACCGCAGGCACCACTGTATATGGATGATATGATAAAGTTGACTTGACAACTATCATATTACTTATGATAGTTGTGATTGCTATGCTACTTATTTTATGGCTTGAAATGCAAATACGTTATGCAGTGATTCAGAGTAACAATAAACAATTGTTACTATACAATTCAGTATGTTTTTCAAGTAGGTTTAAATTAGATGGAACGTATATTTTGCCATCAGGTATTGCAGCTTTTGTTCATATTATCTTTTAGTCAGATGGTGGGTGTGGAATATATTCTCCTTCATGCTCAAGAACCAATTCTCTACATAATTAGGAAACAGCAGAGACAATCTCCAACACAAGGTAAGATTTATCTCAATCTTTAAGATAGTATGCACATATATGAGTATCTATAAATAAGTATCTGACAGTTTGTTTTTAGTACCTCTCATGCTTAATGTTTATGATTATTCTTCCTTGCTCTTTCTTTGTCTGTCCTGCAGTCACCCCCTTGTCTGATTATTACATCATTGCGGGTGTAGTATACCAGGCTCCAGATCTGGGCTCTGTAATTGGTTCCAGAGTGGTCAGTTGTTTTGTCCTTCTATGCATTGTTAAGGAATATGTTGTTCATTGGTTTATTAATTTATATCTATTTTTGAATATAGTCAAACAATAATTAAACAGTGCTTATGATGGTAGTGTTTTTGTGATTTTTATCTTTTTTTCCCTCAAGTTATCTGCAGTCCATGGAATCCAGTCTGCCTTCGATGAGGCAATGTCTTACTGTCGTTACCACCCTTCCAAAGGATACTGGTGGCACTTCAAAGACCAGGAGGAAAGAGGTTAGAATTCATACTAGACCCTTCTAAGTGCTGGTCAGACTGGTGGACTCTCTTGAGTATTTCCTTGCGTAGCTTTTATAGCTACTTATTTGTTGAAATAACTGAAAAAAAGATATCATGAAATATTTATTGATGTCACAGCTATCTTTGTTTTCTAAGCAAAGAATTAAATATCATTATATTCATTAATAATGCATAAATTTAAATTTGCAGAAAAGGCAAAGCCGAAATCCAAAAAGAAAGAGGAGCCAAGCTCTCTGTTTCAGAGACAGAGAGTTGACGCGTTGCTTGTGGATCTCAGGCAGAAGTTTCCCCCTGCCTTCTATCAGGTGTGACGAATTGAAACAGATTTTATATTACCAATGTTGTATTAATTGATGATTGAGTGTAACTGTAAAAATATGGAAGAAATAAGTAAAAGTTAAAAGGTATCTAGTATTTAACAATATATGCAAATATGCAGTATATACTGTAGATCTCCAGCTGTTTGAGTGTGTGTAGAATGGTAAAGATGTGTTTCAATATGATAAAATATTTTATTTTGTATATTCAGCCAAAACCTGGAGAGAAGCCTATTCCAGGTGAGTTTTTATTGCTTCGTACAGTATTTACCATGCAGCCATCATGACATAATCTGCTGATAGTGCTTGTGTTTTATTCTCAGAGCTAACCATTACTTTGGCTGAGTGCACATTGCTTAATAGTCTAGCTGTCTGCTTTAATTCCATGGTCACTCCCCCCTCCCTTCCCTCAGTGGAAGTAAAGAAGGAGCCAGAGACTTCAACTGAGGCAATACGGCAGGAGGAGAGAGAGCCAGCAGCCAAGACTCCTGCGCCCACACCCCCCAACAAAGCCCCACCAGAGAAACGGGCACGGTTGCAGTAGTACAATAAAAAAATTTAGGCCATGTGTACTGCACACTACATACAGAAAAAGACTTTTTTTGTTTATTGTGTACAGTGTCAGTGCTGACTCACCATTCTTCACAAGTGAGGCAAGGACAAATGCGGTGGTTATACATGAACTTTCCTGTGACTGACTCACTTCTATGACTCTCTTCATTTTAATTGCATTTCTTTCTCCTGAATTGCTTTTCTTTGGCATATGCACACAATAGCTGGCCTGTTTGTTCCAATAATGGTTTATTACAGCATTGAAGGTTGTTTGAAAACTACATTTGTAGACTGGATAGGGCAACTGAGAGATGTCTTAAACATGAGAGATTGTGAGAGAAATGTTTGTTTAAAGCTACAAGATTGTCTAAGTAAATAAGAGTGATGTATAATTCTCAACCGACAAGTACTTTTGGGGCTGGTGTTAATTTCCAAAAGAACCCAAAACCACATTGTAATTTTATAATAATGTGCATTTGATCATCTCAGAATTTCTTAAAGCTGTATCAGTATGTGTTGAGTAAAAGTCAACTCTTTGAAAAGTGTTAATTTTATAAACATGCCTATTTTATGTATTTGTATATTATATTTTATGAAGAACTCTAACAGAAGCATTTGACTAGCATGTTCTTGCGATCTGCATTAAGTTAGACATAATTTATTCGTCGATTAGGTGTATAATACTTGTAACAAATATGTCGATGAAACCAATGCAAGGATTTTTTTCCAAGATTACTTTTGTATGCCCAACAAGTTTTATATTAAAGGCGAATCTCAGCAGTCGGTATAACTGGCCTTTATTTGAACGATACAGTATGTCAATTTATATTTCATTGAGCCTTTCATTATGTAAGGAAGCACTTGTATAAACAATACATCTGTTTTTTTCTTACTCGAGAGTGATTTTCTTTATAGAAGCGCATATAACAATTACCGAATGGTGGCGAAACCGCGCACAGCCAACGCCGGTCCCTCCTGCATTCCCTCTTGTTCTAATGTTCCCTAACAGGCGCGCAGAGCGTGGCGGGATAGGTTGCGTTTCCGTGGAGGACCGAGATTAGCCCTCTAGCAAATAGTAAAGATGGCTGCAGTAGAGGTTTTCAGGCCAGTATCTGAAAACAGGACAGTGGCCGTAATGTTTCAAGACGGTTAGTTTCGAGGTCACTTCCTCTCTTTCTTTATCAAATATCCTAACGGGATAAAAATGGGTTCTCAGACGCTTCAGATCTTGAGGCAAGGTGTTTGGGCTTCTATCACTGGCGGCTGGTATTACGATCCCCATCAAAATACATTTGTCAATGCCTTACATCTCTACATATGGCTCTTCCTGCTCTGTTTCCCCTTTACGCTTTACATGGTGAGTGTTTTTTATTTTTATTTTTATAAATGTCTTGGTTTATGTTTGTCTATGATGTATATAGAAAGCTACCTCTCTGTTACGTGTAATTATTACCTGCCTAGCGGGTCGCCTTTATGGAGATTGGGTACGAAGCTCATTTCTCGCTTAGCTGTATTCCCGTATGTTTTGTGTATTAGCACGGTTGTGGATCAGTGGACCCCTTTTACGACTGAATGACACAATTCTGTAGTACATCTAATTATTAACTATACTTTGTCATTCCCATACCGTACATCAGCTGTCGTCAATTTTGTACAATTAATTTCAACCGACTAGCTATAATGTACCAGTATTTCGTTTTAGGCAACGCCAAGGTATGTTTAGCATTTTATTACCCTACTGAAATATTTATCCAGAGTTATTCATTTAAAAAGTTTCCCCCACGACGCTTTGTTGTGTGTGGTTATATATTACTATATTACTATATGTAAATCCGAGCTAAGGAGCTAGCTGCATGTCAAACGTGTCAGACTAGCAATGCTCGGTTTGAACCTGCGTTTTTCGATAAGTGCATTTACTAAAACACCGATGTTTTCCAACGGATATTTTCCAAATTTCTTTGGTGACTAACTAGGTACAAATATAGGCATAATTTGTAACGAAGGGGAAATATATCTGAGTTACAGATTAACTTGGGTGCCTTGATGTGGATAATAACAGCATCGTTTCTGTTTTGGGTGTTATTTGCAGTAGCTTGGTGTTAGACTGAGTAGCCGAACAACACAGTATAATTAAACAATCAGCATATAAATTGGAGTTGCAGGCGTGTAGTGCAACCTTTTTCACGTCTATCACATGTAATTTTGTAGTGTAGAGTGAATTCAAATTTGACCCCTGCAGCATGTCAAAACGATGCAACAAAGTAATTAGCTGTATCATACTTTTAAATCAAGCAATAATAATTAACTTTATAGTCATTAACTTGGGGACAAATTACAGCAAAATGTCCTTGTTTCTCCCCCTCTTTTCAACTTTGAAAAAACATCACTCTTGTATAACTTATAAATCATTATTTTCTGTATCACGAGAATTTTGATCTGACATGCTGATGATGGGTATATCTTATGTTGTTTCTGCTATCATGGATTTGAGAAATGTAGCTTAGCTTTATCTATTGATTCTTCAAAATACTTATGTTAGTCTGTGTGCTCAGATAACCCCGCTGGTTAAAATTGTGGTAATTTCAAATTCCCCCTCTGAATTCACAATCAACAGTGCTGATTAATTGAGCCAAATCTTGGTACTAAATAATGTGTTTGACTTAAATACAACATGAAATTTGTTTTTAAGCCAACATTTCAAACCTGTATCATCAGGGTCTCAGTAATAAGAAAGAACATCTGAAATCTAATTCTGTGTGACATGCAGTACCAAACTGTCAAAATTATAGAACAGTATTCTCCACTGCATGGAAACGTGCTGCAATGTACTGACATTCTCACACAGGTGTCCGCAGCGTTGTGCCCTATTCTTCCCTGAGAATGAAACACCGTAACCCTATATTGGATAAACAGTATGGAGGACGGAAGTCTCCTAAATCAGTTACCTAAATAAAATGGGAAATTAGCTGGTAGTGTTCAAAAATGTGTCTCAAAATTGTGACTAATAATTCCATGTAAATCTATTTGTACAATCAATCGCACGACAGCTCTTTCCCATTTTGTGTTTTTTGCGACATTAAAGCTGAACGCTAATGCTGCCAGTCGCTAGCTTGTAACATTGGTATCGGCAGTTGGAATCGGCCCATCCCTAGCCTGGACAATTGTGTCTTGGGTGGAGCTATTGTTAATGTCTAGGAAAGTTGATTTTTTGCAGCTAAGTGTGAGTTATTGCAGCTGTGCAAAGACACTAGATAATGTCTACATTAGTCGATTCTCATCAGTGTTTATTGTCTGGGTTCAGTTGATAATCTTTTAGCTGAGGACCAAAGGAACAAATAACCAGTAGTGGGGTAGTCGGCACTAAAACAATGCAAAGGTTCACAGGCAGCATTTTATTTTCTGAAACCAAGGGAATATATTTGCATCCAGCAAGTGCTACATTAACCAGCTTACACAATATTCCTAATTATGCCAATTCTATTTCTGGTCTGATCCAAGAACAGGCGACTTTATTAAGGTACTTTTTATTGTTGTCAGTGCTTTTTGAATGTAGATGTGAACAGAAGCAACAATACCTGATGATAAACTGCTTTATATATTCTGAAACAAACACAAAATATAGTGTTCCAAATTATTATGCAGATAAGTTTTTGAATTTTCAGTATGTCAATAATTCACTCAAAACAGAAATCAGTTGTATGTGTTGCATTTACATTGTTCTTCAAAAACCTAGAGACCTGGTTACAGGTTAATATATAAGCCCTTCCTCGAAATTACTTTGACAGCTCGCTCATCTATTGAACTTGAGCGCATGAATAGTTTCTGCCCCTGTTTTAGTAGAAGATGCTAGTATTGCCTCCCATAGCTGCTGTTTTTGAAGAGTGCTGCCAATCACCCTTATAGATTTTCTTTTTTAAAATGCGCCATGAGTTCTCAGTCGGGTTGTAGTCTGGGGATAATAGATCAGATCTTTAGTCGCCCTTTTAAACGCCCATAGCATCCAAGGAGTCGGTGTCGTTGTAAGCAGCCTGTGATGGAGCATTTTCTTGATGAATATCGTGTTATTTTGGTCGTCATGACTTTTCATACTAAGGCTGGAAGTGTTGTTAGAACTTTTACATACATTATACGGACAAAAGTATTTGGACACTTTTATTACATCCCATTCTAAATCCTTCGGCATCAGTATGTTGTTGGTCCGCCTCTTTACAACTATGATGGCTGCCACTCATTATAGTTGGCTTTCCACAAGATTTTGGAGTGTGTCTGAGGTAATTTTTACCCATTCATCCAGAAGGGCACTCATGTCAGACGTGCAGCTCTGGCTCACAGTCTCCGTTCCGTTTCATCCGACAAGTGTTTGATGGGGTTGAGGTCAGGGCTCTGTGTGGGCCGGTCAATTTCTTCCACACCAAACTCACCCAACCATGTCTTTATGGACCTTGCTTTGTGCGCAGGGGCACAGTCATGCTGGAACAGTAAAGCGCCTTCCTCAAACTGTTCCCACAAAGTTTGAAGCATAAAATTGTGCAAAATGTCTTTGTATACTGAAGCATTAACTCATTAACTTTACTCTTGGCACAAAGGAGTTTGGTAGGTAACCTTCTGGCATCTGCCAAACCCAGACTCGTCCATCTGACTGCCAGACAGAAAAGTGTGATTCGTCACTCCACAGAAGACATTTCCACTGCTTCAGAGTCCAGTGGCAGTGTGATTTACACCAGTCCATCCGACACTTGGCATTGCGCTTGGTGATGTGCGGCTTGCATGCAGCTGCTCGGCCATGGGAGCCCATTCCATGAAGCTTCCAGCGCACAGTTTTGTGCTGGAGTTAATGCCAGGGGAAGCTTGGAACGCTGCAGTTATTGAGTTAATAGCGTTGGCAACTTTTACGCACTGTGTGCATCAGCACTCAGTGATTCCACTCTGATACTTTATGTGATCTGCCACTTTATGGTTGAGTTTCTGTTGTTCCTAAATGCCTCCTTTGCAATAATACCACTTAGAGTTGACCATGGAATATCTAGCAGGGAAGAGATTTTACAAAGTGACTTGTTGCAAAGGTGGCATTCTGTGACCGTACCAGGCTTGAATTCACTGAGCTCTTCAGAATGACCCATTCTTGCACAAATGTTTGTAAATTAGCGGGAGAACATTTTAAAACAAATTTGAGGAAGCACTTCTTTACACAGCGTGTAGTCAGAGTATGGAATAGTCTTCCTGCTATTGTAGTGGAAGCTAAAACCATGGGTTCCTTTAAATCAGAGCTAGATAAGATTTTAACAACTCTGAGATATTAGCTAAGTTCTCCCCAAACGAGCTTGATGGGCCGAATGGCCTCCTCTCGTTTGTAAATTTCTTATGTTCTTATGTTCTTAACCTGACTGCATGGCTACGTGCTTAATATTATACACCCGTGGCAGTGGGTGAGAAGGAAACACCTGAATTTGGTGATTAAGAGTTGAGTCTCAATACTTTTGTCCATATAGCATATGTTGTCAGTTTAACATCATCAGGGACCCCAGTGGGACCAGTCATCTCACTTCCCATTATTCCTACTCAGAACAACATTCCACCACCTTCTTGTTGACTGCTCAGTCTGGTGGGTGACTGTGTAGGGTGGCCATTGACCAGCCCTCCGGAACGCCATCCATGTGGACCATCCAGCATAGCATTGAACTCAGTCAATTTCAGTGAATTAAAATGTGTGAGAAACAGTGCCTCTGTACCCCCATGTAAAGTGAATTCGGCACACGTAGTCGACATGTTGAATGCAGAAGTGATGGGCAGGGATAAAGATCTTGTGAGACTTTGATAAGGGGCAAATCATTAAGGCCAGATGGCTGGGTCAGAGTATCTCCGGAATGGCCAGGCTTGTGGGCCGCTTATGGTCAGGCGTGGTAAGTACCTGCTGAGAGTGGCCCAAGGAGGGGAAAGCCACGAAATACTGCCAGGATGTTGGGTGGCCAGAGCTCATCATTTTGGAATGTGAAGGAAGGTTATCCTGTTTAGCGCAAACCCACAGAAGGGCTACTGTGGCATAAATGGCAGATAATCTTGATGATGATCACGTGAAAAATCATTGCTTTGTCGACTACGAGTACTGAATGTCCATTTATCGTTATTTTTATGTGTCTCTCCCAGATCTCTACATGCACTATTTTTGCATGATGGTCAACAATATTTGCTTCACATGGGGGTGAGGTCATAATGTGTGGGCTCGTCGGTGTATGTCTGTGCCCGCCGCATTCTCGTCTCTTCGTGAGCTTTAGTGAGGGGTAGCAGAAATGTAGCTGCCAGCCTCTGGAAGATGCGCTATCAGTAAGTTCTTGGAATTTCAGGGACACTAGCAATTTCAGAAATCTGTTTTTGCCTGAAACTTTCTTTAATGATCCTCTGTCTGATTTACTTCATCTGGACTCTGAAACCCTTTTTTTTAACAGTTCAGTGATGTCAAATTTTCACAATAAATCAATTGTGCAATGTCTTACAAAAAGCATAAAATCAATTTTATTCCCTTCAGCTGCAGTACGGTCTTTGTTCCTTACCATATTTGACGATAACTGTGACTTGCCTGTCAATGTGGAACATCTATTTTAAATCTGTTTCCCTTTAAGATCACCTGGCAAATTAACTTGCAATATTTGTTGATATTGGTACACTTTATCTAAAGAGGCGTGAAAAATGATTAAACAACAAAAAAAATCACAATAAGTTTATATTTTGCTGGAAGAGTTACTGAAATTGCACTTGCATAATATTTTGGAACACGGTGTTTATTTCTCAACAAGCATTTCCGGATGCAGTCACTCATAATTATATTGTTGCTAAAAATTATCTGGCAGCTGTATAATCCTTGTACTACTTGAAGGTTAAAAATAGAAGTAACTGACATCCATGGGAAAGTAACTGGTGAAATGTGGTTTAGCAGATTTTTTTTTTTCCCCCCCAGACTCTTAATGGTTATACTTTCACATAATCTGATCACGCCCTGAACTGTGGAGTGTAACTTACAGTGTTTCTCTATATGAAAGAATATGCTGTGCTAAGCAATTGTCCTGAAGTATAGACTTACTGTTATAGCTACATGTCATCTTTCCTTTTAGGTCCAGCTCACAAACCCTCAGCTTTTTCTATTCAGGGCTACGTGTGGTTTCGGATGTTTTCGGCGGTATATTTGTCAGCTATTTTGTTGTGTCTAGGAAACACTATGGATGCTTTCTGATAGTGGCAGAGTTTGCTCACTGATGTTATGCAGCAGGAATGAAATATGATCCTCCTTGCGCCTCTCGCATGTAGCAAAGGTTGATCAGGGCATGTGATAGTGGGTGTGAAATATTCAAATGTTACTTCTACACTTCAACCCCCAGCTAAGAAATGGCATCATAGTAAATGAGAACTTCAAATTAATCACATTGTGTTACTTAATAAGCTGCATTGCACTGGGAGTTTTACTTGCACAAAAATGTTCTGAGGGCAGAACGAAAAATAAGTTAAAAGAGAGAACCAGTCAGATTGTAGAAAATGTAGATCCAAGCAATTGGAGGAGCCGGGATCAACCAATCAGATTGGCTATCCAATCATGGATCCAATAATTTTTCATTCTGCCTTCAGAACATTTTTGTGTAAAGTAAAACTCCCACAAGCTCAACAGTCTAGGATAAATGGCTTTTAATGAGTACAAGTTATACCTTTGAATATTCTCCTTGAGTCTGGGGTTCCTCCTGAAGTCTGAAGACATGCCGTTAAAATATATTGCCTGTTGAATATGATTGTGTGATGGTGTTTGTGCCCTTTGGTTGGGCTTCCCGTCGTGGGTATAGCCCTGGAGTCCAGCCCCCCCTCCCCCCCCCAGGATAAATGATCGGGAGATGGACGGGGGAAAAAAATTCCATTGCACTTAAATTGAAATTGTTTCATTCAACAGAGTATAAATTGACTGGGTCATTACTTATGAAATTGGTGTTGCTGTGTAGTTCAGCTGTTTAATGGGTTTTTGAGGGATGGACTTCAAACAAGAGCTTCTTCCCGGTATGGTTACACAATGCATTTTAGCAGGTAAGCGTAGTATAATGTCATTTTTATTTATACATACATTCATCATCCACCTGCTTAACCTGGTCGGCATGGTGTAGGGACCTGAAGCTAGACAGCATATGGCACAAGGCAGGGATCTACTCTGGATGGGATGCCCAATGTCATTTTCTAATAGGTTCTAACTATTCCTCCTTGCAGGCTCTTCCTCCCACTATGGTGATTGTGGGCATCTATTGCGGGGTAATCGCAGTACTGTTCCTGCTGTTAAAGACTGTGAATTACCGGCTGCACCATGCCCTGGATGAGGGAGAGATTGTGGAGAGCAGAGCGGTAGAGGCTGAAGGAGTGCGAGTCAACCCTGGCATGGGGAATGATGGCAGTACCATCCGGCAGGAGGACAGCAATGGGCCGGGGTAAGGTCACGTCCCGGAGCGGGACTGAATAACAGAAACGCCTAAACAGTGTAATAAGGCTGTCGCTATCCATTATATTCATAATCAGATCATCTAAAGATTTAATCTGATAGCTAATCAAGTAACCGTTTAATATATAGTCGACCCACATCGCCGGGCCGGGGATGATCTGGAAAACCTGCGTACATTTTTTTTCGGTCCCCTTGGCGAGCGGAGCAAAGCAAAAAGATACGAGAAACGCAAGATACGAAGATAACTGCGAGATATCGTGAGAGGCTGCCGCAAGACCAGCTCGTTCTCCTACAAACTAGAACAGTACATATATTTTATGCATTTTTGAGTTACTAAACATTTTGTGCGTCCTCTCAAAAAAAACCATCCTATTTAATTTCTTATGCCAAATCGAAACCGAGATGGGGAAAGTCTAGATGCAGAAGAGTCAACTGATAATGAAATGTAATATAATATAACAATATAATTTGTACATTGCAAGTGGCACAAGGCAGGAACCAGCCAACCATTGCAGGCTGCTCACTGTCTCACACATAGAGGGTCTAAATTTACCATTTCACTTAAGTTGCATGTTATGTTTTTGGACACCGAAGTATTCCCCAAAAGCGCATGTGCACGCACACACACGCATGCATATAGACCCATAAAATATCGATACACTCCACACGCACAAAGCAGCATTGTGCAGCAAAACCCCTGACCGCTGTGCCAGCATGCTGCCCTCAGTAATAGCTTTGCGTGGTCTGTAATGTTAATATCGCCACGGCATTTGCAGTCTTCACATTCCAAAGACTGATAGTCAGCTGGGTTGAGCCCATCAATAAGTTGCGTTAAAACATTTTTAGTCACTCAAAACGTAGCAAAGATTTTCAGTTTTATTGATGGTTCCTTTTCAGCATTTTCTGTTGTGTACGTTAAAAAAATCAGTCTAAAGTTTGCTGCGGCCTCTTCTGCATGAGCTCTGCATGCACCCGTCGAATCCGTCATAATCAGTCTCATCCTTGCATTTGAACTCCGACATGAACCATGTGGTGCCTTTGTGAGAAACTTAGCATTTCTCCTCCTCACTCATTTTTATTAAGAAGCAGTCATGGGAAGACAGTCTTCTCCTGTATGGAAGTATTTAGTATTCCAAAGAGACGATATTGAGCAAAAGCAAGTGATTTGTTGGCACGGCTCTGTCTGTTGGCACAACTCATGGCAACACGGCTGGCTGATTTGACAGACTGTTGGTAGATAAATTAACTATGGCCAAATAGAACTTTTCATTCAGCCTTACTGAAAACACACAATACGTTCACAAAAAATAATTGAATATTATAAGGTTATCCTATAACTATAAATTAGCCTATATTTACTTGTAAGTAGTGAGATATACTGTACAGTAAAGTCATTCTTTGTGGGATGAAGGGGTGAAAATCTCCCTTGCACCTTTTAAAGGGTCAATGATGTGTAAATCTGGTAACATGGGAGTCATTTAAGGGTGTTTGACTTCTTCCTGGTTTTCATGAATTAGTTTAATCATCTTGGAATACGGGGAAAATTGTGATGATGCATCTGTTCCTGTAAAATGGAGTTGTATAGCTTGGCTATACAGAGAAATCATTGCCGGGTTATGTGTCTCTGCATTGGTGATGGATACTAGCGGTTTTTAAAAGGCATTGTTTTACATGATTCCTTTTCATGTGATTTTTGTGCTATTTTTCTTTCCCTTCTACCTGGAATGAAGTGCATTTTTTGATTATCAGCCTTGCGACTCAGTGTGACTCATTTACACACACTTGAGAGAGTGTCTAATACGGGAGTATGAAATGACATTAACACCTTGTAGACATTTATAATCAAGCTAACAGGAAATAGGGCCCATTTGGCTAGATCTTTCGAAATAGGAGATTTTCCTCCTGTAATTGTTCATGTCTCTATTATTGGACCTTGATGTGTAAAATTAAAAAAAAACCAAGATGGCCGTACAGCCATCCGACAACATCGCTCGTCTTACCCATAGACACAGCTGAACCCTGGGGATTAATAAAGCATTATCTTAGTTTAATCTTATGCTGATTACATCATAAGAATAGTAAAACCTGTAACTGGCTTTCATAATGGAACAGCATGCTGCTTCAAGTGTAACACAGGCAAGATTTGGTTGAATGCCTTGCCTGCAAACATCAGCATATGTTTATTGTGTATAGTGTTGTTTGTATTGTGTGCTTAATTACGTCACTGTCAAAGATGAATTTCCATCTGATGTAAATTTCATGGCCATTAAAGAAATATTCTGTTCTATTCTAAAGTATATAAGCTGCTAGGGCTTTCCTCCAGTTACTCATACATTTATGTCTGTATGGCCGTTGTTGGGCTGCTCCTAGTGTCCTGTGTGTTGTGCTTTCTTTAGAGATCCAGGAGGAGGGATCGAGATGGCAGATTTCATTCGTGAAGAGACCCCACCAGTGGACTGCAGCTCCAGAAACTCCTTTGCTGGAATGGACTCCTGCCACCAGGTGCGGGTTCGAACGTGGGCCGTCGCCATGGCAACAGGCGGCTGCATCTTCAGCTTGTCCTACACTAAAGGATTTTTTTTTTTTTTTTAGTATAGATCAGGGAAGCGACATATGGGTCCTAATGCTGGTGGTGTTTCTGTGTAATTTGGTTTGAAGTTTTGTGATCCAGCAAGTGCAACTGGTGATTGCTAAAATTTATAGCCTGCAACTTTAAAAAAAAAAAAAAAAAAAAAGTATATATTTCATTGTTTTGTTCTTTCTCTTTCCTCATTTCTTAATCATCACATTTAAACAAATTTCATACAAAATATTTCAGTTACTGCAAAATGTATTTAAACATTTAATTTTTTAGCAAGCATCTGTGCTGTTACTTTAGAAATATAGTGAACAGTATTCTAGGTATGTTAGGTGCACATACTTTTATTTTTGTATTTATAACTAATGGAACAGCTAGAAAATAATTCCATTAATATAATTATTAAAGGAACTGACTTTGCACCTATATTTCTGGAAACTATTGGCCTACTAGAGACAACACACTTATTACAATTTTAACACTTTATCTTCTGTTTTTAAACCATTACTGTGCACCACAGTGTGTAGGTGACATATTGATAATGGCTGATGTCGGTGCAGATTTGCCTCCAGTAACTCAGACTGGCCGTATTTCGCTGTCTCCCACTCACTGTCCCACAAATACATGTAACTTCAACAGATGATTTGGCAAAGCGCTTTTTTCAGTGTTCTGGTAGTGTCACTTACTCAGTCTTGATTTCTGTACAGTATTATCCTGCTATTTGATACCCGACAACTTGACTAGAAATATTTGTAGAACTTTACAAAACAGTTTCAGACCCTGTATAGATTAGTCAGATTCTGAGAGACATTGCCTGTATATCAATGGCGGGATAAAGATTAAATAGGTTCGTACCTGTATCAGTGCTTCTCCCAGTGTCTTATGTTCACCTAAATTATTGTTTTCATGGCCGTATCTTTGCATCATACTGCTTTTCCCCCATATATGTAGATGCTTATTCATATTTAATGTTCTGAAGACTTTCTGGGTTTTGGTGCTTAGTTAGTTACAGGAAATACAGGAAGAGTTTCACCAACAGTGTCGCTGAAGCGTTAGTATGATGTACGCTGAGAGCGTCTCGCACATGTAGTCGTGACACCCTGCAGAGGTGTGGTAGGGTTATGGAATTATTTTTTTTCTCTGACAGATTTGGTTTGTCGCTGTACCTCAGACCCTCAACGTACCATCTGTGCAAAGAAGGAAAATCCATAGTTGGTTTTAGGGATTTTTATTTGGTGAAACTGTGTTGGATTCCTTACAACTTCATGCTTTGATACTTTCTTTTCCCTGTGCATTAGCTTGTGTCCACTCATGCGGGCATGACTGCAGCCAAAGGTGAGAACTGCTCTCAAAGAATAGAATCTAGCCCTGATTTACAAAGTCTTCACACTGCACTTCACACTGCACTTCACACTGCACTGAAAAACTAAAGTTGTAGCCTTGGCCAAATTTGCTTGATGTTCGGCCTATAAACTCTACTGCGAGGACACTAACGGGTGATGTTTGTATTACTTAATTTATTCTCTACTGCTTAATTTTTTGTGGCCTATAGTGTAACTAAATATGAGCAGCCTGGAGAATAATGGTACTATGGACCCTGAATACCTGGTACCTGAATGTTATAAAATGTGAATGATATGCATGTTTGCTTCCAATCTGTTATCGCATTGTCAGCACTTCAGTCTTGTAGACCTCACAAGTATGCAGTATAATAAATATCATGTTATTTAGCAAGGTAATGTTCAGTTGGACTGTAAGAAAATGTCCAGCTGATGAGTAGTAGGTTCACAAACTCCACAATATCCAGGAAAGGTCTGGTTATTTTTTTTTTTTAGTTTTCAAATCTGTTGCATCAAATAGTTGTGAACCTCAGTAATGCACCTCAGTTTAACTGCATCAGATTATTAATGATAGTGGTTCAATGGATAAACTATTAATGTATTTGCGATATACTACTCTCTGATAATGTGACAGGAGCCAAGGAAAATTTATAAAGAGCTCAGTGGCAAAATTACATTAGCGTAAGTTTAGAAACTCTATTTAAATTTAAATATAATATTTATGACTCTTCAGCAGTAATTGCTACTTTAAATATTTCTTGAGCAAACGCGAAATATACACACACCCGCACATCCCCTGCATATCCATTTACAGTCAGGTGTCCGTAGAAAGTAGCAGAGATGGATGCATGAAGAATTTTGTTTCTATATAGGGGGAGATGTAGGAAAGACCTCAGATGATATCAGCTTAAGTCTCGCTCAGAGCAGCAGCCTATGTAACGATGGAAGGCAGGACCAAGGTCAGAACCCCATCATCGTGTTTCTTGGTTAATTGATCAGTAGACTGTTTTACCCCTTTTAGTCAGTTTTGTCTTCTTAATTTAACCAGATATAAAGTGAAATGAAACTACACAACTTCCCTGGCTCCCTATCTAGTCGAAAAAAGTGACTTTATAGTTTTTATTGCTTCTAATAGGCTGGTACTCATTTATGCAGTTGTGGATCTGCATTTTGTTGAAAGGTAAATCAGAGGCTAATAACTGTTGGGTAATAAGGGAGCCCTTAGCTATACCTACAAATAACACACATGTTTTGTGTTGTATTGCTTACAATCCCTGGGACTTCAGGTTTAAACAGATGGGCGTATTCACCCTGCTCTCCCTTCCCTTTCAGACTTGATGTCCGACCCAAAGATGTATTGCCTTGCCTCCAATGACTCATTCGCCTCCATGCAGCCCTCCACGTCTTTGGGCCCGCCAGAGCTGGCCAGGGACCCTGCGGATTCCAGCGACCCCATCCCAAACCAAGCGACACAGTCGTATGAAACGGAACAGACTTCCATCGGTCTGCTGCACTCGCAGTCGTACCGTAAGGAGCCTCGTCCCCGGGGCCTGCCTCGTACCTCCAGCTCAGCTGGCTCCGCCTTTCCTGACCCTTCACTGCCTGACTACGGCCTCTACCCCCCGCCTCGCAGAGGCGGCCTGGATCCAGTCTGCGAGCTGGAAGCTTCCAGGCTGTCCCAGGCTGGAGAGGCAGAGGGAGATAGCGGTGGAGAGGAGGTCTTCCGGCTTGACCAGGCTGCGGCCTCCACCTCGGGAACAAGCCACTGCCAGCCAGCGGCAAGCTCGGACTCGCACGAGGCCCGGGACGTCGGCCCTGGGCTGTACCAGGGGGCCGCAGAGGGGGGACCGGCGGCGAAGGAGAAACCCCTAAGGGGGGAGTGCAGCGTGGACAGCCTCCGCAGTCTTAGCACGCGCAGCAGTGGATCCTCGGAGAGCTACTGCAGCGGCACGGACCGGGACACCAACAGCACCGTCAGCAGCTTTCACAGCGAACAGACCAGCTCCACACACGTGGAGAGTCTTCTCTCACTCTCAGGGGACGAACAGGAGCGAGTGCATGGGGACAGCAGCGTGTCTGCGCCCACAGACAGCAGGACTCCCAGAGAGGGCTTCAGCCCCCGCTGCCCTAGCCGGGACAGCAGCTCTCGGGGGCTGAGCAGCCTTTTGTCTGGGGAGGCTAACAAGAACCCCCACGCCAACGAGCTGATGGCCATACAGCCATCCGACAGCATCGTTCTTTTCGCCCAAGAGCCAGCCGATCCCTGCGGCTGCGCCGAGGACCCCGTTTCCGGAGGAACCGCCGACGGCTCGGCCCCCCTGATTCTCCGGGATCAGAAGCAGGACAAGGAGGACGTGCGGCCCAAGTCGGTGAACCTGATCCACCGGGCCTCCTCCTCGGCGGGGCGGAGCAGCCGTCGGCGGACGGGAAAGAAACGTGCCAGCAGCTTCGACACCAGCCGTCACCGCGACTACATGTCGCTGCGGAATACGGATAAGCCGCGCAGCGCCATGTTCCCCCGAGAAGATGACTCCAGTGACCAGAGTGAGCTGAGCTGTGCCTCCAGTTTGCATTCCACACACCACTTCAGCACAGACAGTTCCTCCAGCACCACCTCCCACTCCTGCCACTCACCCGAGGGCCGTTATAGTGCCCTCAAGGCCAAGCAAGCGATTGCCTCATCGCTGTCGGTGAAGGGCATCGTCGGGCCTGAGGGTGGGGTTGGGGGTGGAGGAAGGCGTCGTTCCTCCCGACGTACCTCAAGTACAGGCAGTGCTAAGACTCACGCCCGGGTGCTGAGCTTGGACAGCGGTACGGCCGCTTGCCTTAATGACCCCAACCAATTGGTCGCCCCCACTGGTACACGCCCCCTCACCACCTCGAAGTCAGACCTCGAGGCCAAAGAGGGTGAGGTTTTAGACGCCGTTTGCCTGCTGGGTCGAGCCTCGCAGCTGGAGTCCGTCACGCGATCTAGGAACAGCCTCCCCAGCCACGCCGCCTTTTCCGAGGCCCAGGATGCACCCAGCTCTTCGCGCGGTAAGTCCGCCGTACGCTCCGGCATACCCGCCACGCCGACTCCTGTTCTATTCTCCGACCAAACTCACAGTTTACAGCCTGTTTGTGATCATTTTTACTGCATCTTATATGCAGAAGCATGCTTTGTTTGCTGCTTTTGGAGTAGAGGCACATAATATTCTCAAATTCTCGGTTTTCAGGGTAAAGCTATTTCCGGCTTTGATTCAAATGATGCCAAGAATTACAGTGTATCAGCGGTAAGGGGCAGCGACTGCATTGTTTTTCAAAATGGTTTAAAGCAGGAGCTCTCCAGTTTTCTGGTAATATTTTGTCCAGTGCTTTGTCTCCTGGTAATTTTTATGGTCGTAAGATATCAAGGCATTTCAGTACAGTGTACTTGTATGTTTGTGAACTTTATTTGCATTCATGCAAAAAATAAATTATTCTGTACACGTGTATGACCTTGCAAGGCCTAGGAAAATCCTTTTGGTGTAAAGTTGAGACAATTGACTTGCATATTAAGCGGATTACTTACCCTATATTATGTAGTTCTGTGACTAATTTTAGCTATGCAGTTCAGTTTTGTAGTAACTTAAGTAACTGTCAAAATGATTGATGTCCAATAGTATTCAGAAATTAAAATTGTGTCTTGTTGTTTAAATAGTTTATGGCCACAGCCATAGGATTTTCATGTCCATGTATGTGATAGAAAACATCCATTTTTATCTACAGTGGAAGAGAGGTGTAGGTTCGGGTGAAATTGACCTTCCTGGATGGTTTAGTCCATAAAAAATGGGCATTTATATATTGAGTTTTTTTCTGTGAAAGTTTTCCATCGATTGGCTATTGCGTCATCTAATGGGTAAACAGAAATTTTGTTACTGTGGGGTTACGATGGCCGTATACTTCAAACGAAATTGAAGGTATTGACTGATGTCGTGGCAAAGCATTATATGAGCTGTAATCGCTGCTACGATCACAGTTTCAGCGGACCGTCTGTGCAGGGTCCCCAAGGCAAAATATTTTTGTTTGTTCTGATCCCACCCACTGTCCACGACTGACTGACACAATGTGGTGCCGTGGGGCTGGTTAGTAGCAGTTCCCAGCATGCTTTGCACCACACCGTGCGTATCTGTAAATAGAGTTGATTAATATGTGTATTTAGTAAATGTCAGAACCATTTAACATTTTCTGTAGAATGCCTGTGTTTCGTTAGCATGTAACTCTGCATGTCGTTTAAATTGTTGCTTTCCTTGTCTGTGCCACTTCTAGTATTAAAGCAATAGTTGCTGTTAATAAAGATAGTAACTGTCATTTTAAAAGAGCTCCAATATTGCAATGACTGGTGCACTTGTTTATTTGCCCTCTGTATGTGGGTCTGCAACATCGAAAACATTCTGCACCCCCTAGCATTCTGGCGTGACATCGCTTTAAGTATGCAACAGGTTGTTCTCGCCGACGATTTTCGATACGTCTGGATATTGGGTGAAGTATACAGCTGCCTTTAGGATACAGGGTTGTTTAACTTTTTAGCTAAATAATGGTGATATGTTGATCAGAGAAGGAGAGTTGGGTGGATTTTTCACGCTATAAAATTTGTAACGGCATTGTTTACATGTAGCAGGTAATTTCGCTTCTGTTTGCAGAGTTGTATAAAATATGACTTCTGGGAAAGTGGAACAAACTACATAGTTAAGTGAAAATTAAAGAAAAAAGGGATTCTCCTGATCACTGTTGTTTATTGTACTGGTGTTTAACGGTGCACTGCTTATTTGTTCTGGAATCTTTGTTTTTAAGAATCTTTATGCCTTGTGGTAACTTTACAGCCTGGCCATTACGCTGCAGATTCTTATGCTTCTAATTTTAGCAGCAGACAACATCCTGCCAAAGGTGATAGCCATCAAAGTCCAGATCGTAATCAGTCAGTACGTCATTTGCTTTTCATAATCGGTCAGTAGCTAATTTGGTTTTCATACAGTGTCTGGATACGTTTCCTTTTGAAATATGTAAATAATCAGCAGCATTGGGGAAAAATCTGGGTGTGGATTATTTCCATGATACTAATTACCCTGCTCAAGGTTTGAAAGATTATTATGTTTTTTCTTCTTCATAAAATTTCCCCCCAGTTGTCTGCAGTATAAAGGTTAGAGTGCTATTTAACCTCACACTGAACCTTTCTTACTGCGACAGCCCCGGTGAGTGAAGAGACCGTCGCGTTCCGCCGCGAGCGCAGTACCTTCCGCCGTCAGGCAGTGCGACGACGCCACAATGCCGGGAGCAACCCCACACCGCCCACCTCCCTCATCGGCTCACCTCTCAGGTAAGCCTGCTGATGGATGGGGGCAGATGGGTGACCGGCCTTTGCCCTCCCCTCTCTTCCCTCCTATTGCACTTGTCCGTGCTCTCTAATGCCAATATCTGTTACTGCCTCCTTGTGGATTACATTGGAATTACATGGAATTTCACGCACGCCTTCAACTCGCATGGCATTTTACATAATTGATCTTCTTTGTGGTCAAACGTGCTCAAGAAAGCAACCAGTGATGATGAGTATAGCAGCCATGTTTCCAGTGCCTGAAATTATCCACTTTTATTCCAAGTGTTTCGTCTGTGATGCTCAGGTCACAGAAAATGGGTCAGAGTTAAACTTCTTTATTTAGTTTTTTTTTTCTACTGTCTGTGTTTACTTTGCATATTTATGAAGACTTCAAACAAAACTGCTGCATGTGCGGCTCAGAGCTCTGTGGATGGTAATTTGAGCTGTTTTAGTTGACTTGTACTTGCTTGTTAATTTATAGCAGTGCTTACCAAACTTGAGTTTTCCTATATACTTAGAAAGTATGCAAATGCATTTCCTTGCTACCACACAAGCACCTTTTTGTCTATATGCACAATGTGTAATATAGTGACACTTCACACAACAAAAAGCTGTTAGATTTAAATCCTTAGTCCCAGTACATGATAAAGTGTAAAAGTCTTTGTGAAAGATGCCTTATCACAACTCGATGATGTCAGGCGGAATTTGTATTCCTGTAGCACTGTATGCTCTTTATTTTGCTTTAGGCACTGGTTTTGCCCTGCTTGTATGCCAGTATTCCCATTTTGACCCTCTGAATCTGTGACTTTGTGAACCTTATATGATTTTGGAACAATGGTAAATCATGTTAATGTAATAGATATACAATTGGGTAAATGAGGACTATATACCGATCAACCACAACATTAAAACCACTGATGGATGAAGTTAATAACATGTGACAATGGCACCTGTCAAGTGTGGTTTGAGGAACATGAAACAGTTGACTAGACCTCCAAATTCCCCAGATCCTGATCCGATCGAGCATCTGTAGGATGTGCTGGACAAACAAGTCCAATCTGTGGAGGGCCCGCCTTGCAACTTACTGGATTTAAACACTCTGCTACAAAAATATTGGTGCCAGGTACCACAGGACACCTTCAGAGGTCTGCTGCGGTTCATGCCTCGACTGGTCACAGCTGTTTTTGGTGGCAGAAGGGGAACCTGCACCGGATTAGGCAGGTGGATTTAATGTTATGGCTGATCGGTGTATATCAGGTGCAAAACTACTGGGGAGTATTAGTATAATATAGTATTAGTATAATATTAATAATATCATTACCCAATTGTGAAAAACGAAGCAGTCTGATGTGTGGCAGAGAGTGGCGGAGTGTGGCGGAGTGTGGCGGAGAGGGCGGAGTGTGGCGGAGAGAGTGGAGTGTGGTGAGTGTGGCAGAGAGGGCAGAGAGGGCGGAGTGTGGCAGAGAGGGTTGAGTGTGGTGAGTGTGGCAGAGAGGGCGGAGTGTGGTGAGTGTGGCAGAGAGGGCGGAGTGTGGCAGAGAGGGCGGAGTGTGGCAGAGAGGGCGGAGTGTGGCAGAGAGGGCGGAGTGTGGCAGAGGGCGGAGTGTGGCAGAGAGGGCGGAGTG